CCAACTATTATTGTCATAGTGGTCCCTTCTCTACCCCAACTGCCTTCCTTTCCAGCACTTGAGGCAGACTTCCAATTCTGGACCAATCCTACTGGCCCTAGTTTCTACCATCATTGGGTATTTGTCTCATACTATTTTTTTTTATAATCTTACAAATGAGTGCAATCATTCTATGTCTGTCCCTCTCCTTCTGACTCATTTAACTCAGCAAGAATCTTTTTAAGTCCATTCATTTATAAGCAAATTTCATGACTTCATTTTCCCTAACAGCTGCCTATTAGTCCGTCATGTAGATACCATAGTTTCTTTGTACAGTTGTCTGTTCTTGGACATTCCAGTTGTTTCCAGATCCTGGCTATTGTGAATAGTGTTGCAATAAACATAGAAGTGCAGATGACATTTATGTTGTGTGTCTTTGTACCCCTAGAGTTTATTTCCAAAAGTGGTATTGCTTGGTCGTACGGAAGCTCAATTTCTAGTTTTTATCCATTTTGGACAGGAACTGAGTTTTGAAAGTAGGTAAAGAGATATACCTGATAACCTTTTAGTATCTGTACTACAAACCATAGGCCCAAAAGTGTGTGTGTGTGGGGAGAGAGAGAGAGAGAGAAAGAGAGAGAGAGAAAGAGAGAGAGAGAGAGAGAGAGAGAGAGAGGAAAAGTGCCTTCCATAGAGGTGAGGTGGGTGGGGTATGGGTGTATGGGATATGGCAGGTATTGGTGATGAAAAATGTACAATGGTGGAGAGAGAGAGGGAGAAAGGGGGATGCTAGACATAGAGACAAGTGTGTGTGGGGGTGGAGGCGGGAGGGAACTGGAGATATTGGTAGTGAGAAATGTACACTGGTGGAGGGATGGATGATGGAATACTGTGTTAGGGAAACCCAATCATTGACAACTTTGTAACAGTGTATCTCACTGTGATTCAATTAAATTTTTTTTTTAAAATATGAAACACCACTGACCAAGAAAGTGGAATAAAAGATAAACAAGTGGGACTACGTTAAACTGAAAAACTTCAGCACCTTAAAAGAAATAGCAACCAATATACAGAGACAACCCATGGAATGGGAAAAATTATTTACCCAATATCCATCAGATAAGGGATTAATATCCAAGACATATAAGGTGCTCGTAGAAGTTTACAAGAAAAATAATTCAACCCCATCAAAAAATGAACAGAAACTACCTCAAAGAAGAAATACAAATGGTCAAAAAGCACATGAAAAATGTTCTACATAGCTAACTATCAGGGAGATGCAAATCAAACAAATGAGATATCATTTTATGCTTCAGAGAGTGGTACACATCAAAAAGAACAAGAACAACCAGTACTGGTGAAGATGCAGGGAAAAGGGACACTTCTTCATTGCTGAGAAGGGACTTCCATGTAGAGAGAATTAATTTACAATTAAAAGACAAAACTATACAATGAGAAAAATAATAGTCTTTTAAATAAGTAAAAGGTAAAGGCCCTCCCGTTGATCATCGATTTGCTCGAGCGGGCCCAGTAACGTCTCCATTGGAGACTTTGTTGTTACTGTGTCTGGCATATCGAATACTCTCGGTAGCTTGCCGGGCTCTCTGAGAGGGGCGGAGGAATTGAACTCGGGTCGGCCATGTTGGCTGTGTGCAAGGCAAACGCCCTACCCGCTGTGCTAGTAATATTGGAAAAATTGGACAGCCATGTGTTAAAGAATAAAACCAAACTATCCTTTTGCATCACACACACACACAAACACACACACACACACACACACACAACCAGCTCAAAAAGGATTACAGATCTAAAACCATAAAACTGAAACCACAGAAATTCTAGAAGAAAAGTCAGGAGGTATATTCTTTGAAATCAATTTTGACAATGAGTTTTTGGATTCAACACTAAAAATAAGAGAAACAAAAATAAAAATTGGGAAGGGGAAAATAAATAAAAAATAAAAATTAACACGTCAGACTTTATCAAACTAAAAAGCTTTTGCACAGCAAGAGAAAGCAATGAAACCTTAGGTTATCTACTCAATGGGAGAAAATATTTTCAAATCATGTTTCTCATAGGGAACCAATATTCAAAATATATAAACAACTCAAACAACATAATAGCCCCAAACCAAATAAACTAACACACTAAAAGTAGCACTGTAGTACTGTCCTCCCATTTTTCATCAATTTGCTCGGGTGGGCACCAGTAATGTCTCCATTGTGAAACTTGTTGTTACTATTTTTGGCCTATTGAATACTCCATGGGTAGCTTGCCAAGCTCTTCTGTGCGGGTGGGATACTTTCAGTCACTTGCCGGGCTCTTCGAGAGGGATGGAGGAATTGAACCTGGGTTGGACGCATGCAAGGCAAACACCCTACCAGCTGTGCTACCCTCTAGCCCTAATAGATTTCTATGTAATGTTAATTCTACATACTAAAAGTCACTGTCACTGTCAATGTCTTCCTGTTGTTCATTGATTTGCTCAAGTGGGCCCAGAAACATTATGAGACTTGTTACTGTGTTTGGCATATCAAATACATCATGGGTAGCTTGCCAGGCTTTGCCATGTGGGCGAGATACTCTCGGTAGCTTCCCGAGCTCTCTGAGAGGAGCGAAGGAATTGAACTTGGGTTAGCTGTGTCGGCCGGGTGAAAGGCAAACATCCTACCCACTGTGCTAGGGGCAGAGGATCTAAGTGGATTTTTCCCCCAACAAGAGGCATGGCCAACATGTACATGAAAAGATGCTCAGTATCACAAATAACCAGAAAACTTAAAGAGGAGAAGCATGCTGAAAGTAGACTATAGACCAAACATGACTGTCACCCATTGCCTCTTTTGCAAACCACAACACCCAATAAGAGAGAGAGAACAAAAGGGAATGCCCTGTCACAGAGGCGGGGTGGGATGGGGGGGATGGGAGGGATACTGGGATCCGTGGTGGTGGGAAATGGGCACTGGTGGAGGGATGGGTATTTGATCACTGTATAATTGAAACCCAAGCACAAAAATGTGTAAGTCTGCAACTGTACCTCAGGATGTCTCACTAATAAAAATTAAAAAAAAGAAAACTCGAAGAGAAACCACAATTATACAGGTATCATTTTGTACCTGTTAGACAGTTGCTGTCAAAAGGTAAGAGATAGTAAGTGCTGCCAAGAGTTTGGAGGAAAGGGGGCCTTTGAGTACTATTGGTGGGAATGTAAATTGGTATGTGAAGAACAGTACAGAAGTTTCTAGAAGAGGATAGAGAGATAGTTTAATGCGCTGAGCATGTGTTTTGTATGCAGGGGGCTCAGGTTTGATCTCTGGCACCACGTGATCCCCTGACACCATTGGGAGCCATCCCCCAAGCACACATCCTGGAGTAGCTCCTCTGGCCCCAACTGGGTATGACTTAAAAGCCAACCCCCCAAGTTAAAAGAGAACTATCACATGATCCCTAAATTCTATATCTTGATATTTATCCAAATAAAGTAATACTATTTTGGAAAGATAGATAGATCCCCATGTTCATGGTAACATTTATTGATATATTGGGCTTTTGGGTCATACCTGATGATACTCAGAGGTTATTCCTGGCTCTGTGCTCCGGAATGACTTCTGGCAGTGCTCAAGAGACCACGTGAGGTGCCAAGGATTCAAACTAGGGTTATGGTCAGTGCAGTTATCTGAAAGGCAAGTGTCTTGCTTCCTGTACTCTCTCTTTAGCCTCCAGTGCAATATTAACTTACAATAACCAAGTTATAAGGACAACCTACGTGTCCATTGATAGATGAATATATCTTAAAACCTGTGGTATTATTTATACAAGGGAGTATATTTCTTAGTCATAAGCAGAATTTACCCTGGGATAGGTAGATATGAAAGGCATTATACTGAAGGTAGATATGAAGGCATATAATGAAATGAGTATGAAAGAGAGACAAATATTGCAAGACCTTACTTATATGTGGAATCCAAACCAGATAGATAGGAAAACACAAAATGAAACTCATAGGTATAGAGAACAGATTAGTGTTGTCCAGAGGTATGAATTGTTAAGTGTGTAAAATGGGCACAGGGGTCAAAAGGCACTCATTTTCTGTAATGACATTACTGAGTCATGAGGCTGTAAAACACAGTATGGTAATTACAGTTAATTGCTGGGAGCCAAAATATCAGTACAGCCTGACCTGCAATTTAAGAACAAATCTCTTCTTGGAAAAATGTTAAAATACACTGTAAGTTTCTGAGCTATGCCCGGGATAATTGCCATGAGCCCACCATTAGGGCTCACACCATGATTTATTGAAAATCTGCATGCTTCGTTAATTCCCCATTTTGCCCACTTCCTCATGTAGCACTGTAGCACTGTCCTCCCATTGGTCATCAATTTGCTCGAGTGGGCCCAGTAACGTCTCCATTGTGAGACTTGTTACTGTGTTTCGCATATCGAATAGTCATGAGAAGCTTGCCAGGCTTTGCTGTGCGGGTGAGATACTCTCAGTAGCTTAATGGGCTCTCCGAGAGGGGCGGAGGAATTGAACCCGGCTCGGCTGAGCCGGCTGCAAGGCAAAAGCCCTACCACTGTGCTATTGCTCTAGCCCTTCTCACAAGAAAAATTTCAAATATATACAATTACATGTTAGACCTACTATGATCACTTCACCATCTATAAATATCAATTATGTCATATGCCAAAATGAACATAATATTTATCAATTACATCTCAAAAAAATCCCCTGAATTATTTTTCATGATACTCTTTTTTTTTATTTCCTATTACCTAGTGGAATTGACAACTTATTTTTACATAAATTTTTTGTTGCAAGTGAGGAAAATATACTAAAATGTGAAATAAAATAAAGATTATCAATTTTTGCTTTTTCATTGCACGAAGGAATGCAAGTGGACATCAATACAACATATTGAGTTTATTTATTTTATATCTTTGTATACAAAGGATTCAATCTTCTATGCAAGAAGGCAATTAATTTGGTAATTATTTTGAATTATGTTGAATACCTCTTTAGGTAGGAAAATAAGCAATGCTTCACAAATGTGTGTGTCATAATTGTACAGGGGCCATACTTAATCTATGTATTATCTCAGTTTTCGTATATGTGCTGCCAAGGTGAGCAGAGACGACTTATTTTGTTTTGTTTTCTGTTTTTGGTCTCTCAAGTGGTGCTCAGAAGGTCAGGGGTCTGCTACCGGTGACTCTTGGCTAACCTTGCTGGTGGATTAATGCTAGAACCTGAAGATATGGTGTTGCTTGAGCTCTGTAGTTCTGGGGATTGCACGGGCCATGCTGGTGGTGTTTGGGGGCTTTCAGAGATGCACTCAGCGATGCTTGGGGATCATGTGTATTGGGGATCAAATGTGCGTTGGGCACAATGTACCACACCTGCTGAGCTATCTCCTAGTTTCCCTTGTCCCCTCCACCATGAATTACTTTCGAGATGTCACTGTTTTGTCAACACACGAATATTTTTTGTGTGTTGGCTTTAGTTCAGATGCAAAGACTATATCTTCAGAATGGATATTTCTGGATTTAAGAAATGCTTGTTCTAAAACTAAAGATGCCATCTGGCTCTTGAAATAATTTGGACTTTATAACTCTCTGTTATAAACATGAGGTTCTTGGTGTCTTACCTGGAACAGTCGTGCCCTGTCCACGCTGGGAGACAATGGCATCGGTTTGGTCTCACACATTTCCCACCGTTTAAGCAGGGAGACTGGCACACAGCTGGGATAAAAAAAAATCATGCATTAACTTAATTAGAATTTACATATTAATTAATTAGTACTGACACATTGGGGAGATGTCCAAGAAGACAAGTGGGATAAGATTAGTTTCCTCTTTCTGCTCTGATCACCATAGATCAATTATGCATTTCTACCACTTTGCATTTGGCTTCATGTGACTATATGGCAACATCTCCTTCTTTTCTAACCAAATAATCTTCCTTCCTTCCTTCCTTCCTTCCTTCCTTCCTTCCTTCCTTCCTTTCTTCCTTCCTCCCTCCCTCTCTCCCTCCCTCCCTCCCTCCCTCCCTCCCTCCCTCCCTCCCTCCCTCCCTCCCTCCCTTCCTCCCTCCCTCCTTCAGACTTGACAGTGCTCAAGGCTTACTACTGGCTTGTGCTCAGGGATCAGTTCTGGTAGTGCTTAGGGGAACCATATGTAGTGTCAGGAATAAATTCTTCATTGCTCACATTCAAAGCAAATGCCTTAAATATTGTACTATTTCTCCGGTCCAAACAACATAACTATTTTCATATTGAAGTTCCACTTACATATTGAAATTTTTGCTGGTAACTTCAAGTCTATGGAGTTTTCTTGACTTTCATCTTACCACTAATACAATCAATTTGACATATACTATTCTGAACCATAAACTTTTCATCTTCTCAATTACATTGTAAGTCTCTTGGAATTAGTTCTGACTTCTGATGGAGTTATTACATCAGATATCAACTTTTAGGAAAATGAATCAAGTACATGGACCATCTGAAATAACAGGTAATTTCAAGACCTTTCATGTTTGCCAGGAAACACATTGCATGGTTTTAACCAGCTTTCATTGGAATTACAGACCTGTAATATAATTAAAAATTAATCACAGATGAAACCTGAGTAACACTGAAAGATATAATGTATTAGTATCTTTCTCTTAAATCCACACTGTCATAACCAAATTCATGTACATAAATACATTTAAGAAAACTGAATATGCTACAAACTGACAACAACACCCAACAACAACAAATTTTAACATGTCAAAGAAAGAGAAATTCACATAGAAATAAAATAGAATGTCTGTTTGGGGAAAGCTGGAAACAAATATTATTTCAGTCTCATTATACCTTGGAAAGACTGGCTTTCATAAATGAAAGGAACTCTCTTGTCGAGATAAACAATGTTTCTGTAGTCACTCATTCATCAAATATGGGGAAAATATTTGATGAATGTAAGTACCAGGCACTTGCTAAGAACTAGGTGGGAAGAGAAAGGACAAGAATGTGAGTTGTGTATGAGTAGCATAGAGAATGCACATATTTGCAATATAATAAAGAGGAAATATGAAACAGAACAGGATTAGACATAGCAGAAGAACCAATGCAATAATCTAAAACTAGCATTTTTTGGATTCTGTTTGCTAATATGCAAAAAAAAGAAAGACTCCCTTTCAGGAGCATGATGACCTGGGGTGCCTGACTGCCCTAGCAACTTAATCATTTCCACTTCACTATCTAAAAGTTTAACAACCTCCCTCTTCCCTAAATGTGGGCACCCTGGATTCTAGGCCACTTCTCATGCCTTGTAACTTTTGCACAGTTTTGAATTTTCCCTTAGGACTTTTTTCCAATGATGCCTTACATATATCTTTAATCCAAATGTATCTTCTGGAACCTAAATTTTCATCCGATACTGACCAGATCTGTTTCTGTGTATTTCACTATATCCACACTTAAATTTGTATCTTTAGCTTTTAATCTGTGTCTCCCAGGTTCTCTCTCCCAGTGGAACAACTATCTACTCAGGGGTCCAGATTGGAAACTTCAGTCTTGACACATGTGAGATCAATATTAAATCTATTACCAAGTGGCACCTACTTACCTCCTTAATTTCTCTCAAATATAGCCTTTAAGATTGCTTTTTAACTACTGTTTTTACTGTTAGTACTGCTTTATACCACTTTCCATACTGTTGCCCAAATCAACTTTTATTTTTGTGGGGTTGGGGAATGTACCTGGTAGAGCTCAGGAATCATGACTTGCAGTGCCTGGGGGACTTTTATGGTGCCAGGGATTGAATTACAAGGTTGGTTGCATGCAAGGCAAGTCTCTCAATTCCTGTACCATCTCTTCAGCCCCCAAATAAATTTTTTTCTGAAAGAAAATCTGATCAGGTAATGTTTTCATTTAAAACCCTTCAGGGATTCTGTTACTAAAAACATGCCACAGCATCTTGACAAATCAAATCACAAATCACAAATCATCCTGTTAATCGTCGATTGCCTCGAGCAGGCCCCAGTAACGTCTCCTTCATCCTAGCCCTGAGATTATATTCAAGGCTCTTTAGGCAAATGAGACCCATCATTGTTACTGGTATTTGGCATATTGGGTAAAACACAGGGAGTTTGCCAGACTCTGCCGTGTGGGCAGGCTACATTCGGTAGCCTGCCAGTTTGTCCAAAGTAGGAATGAGATAATAAGATGTCATCATAGGATGTCGTGCGGCCGCAAATGCTGCCACCGAGCATCTTGACATTGGCATAGAATATATTTCCTAATCTGGTTCTGCCATTTTTATACCTCCATTACCAACCACACACCAATATTTCTCCTCTGACTTCAGCCAATGCTAGACTTCCATGCTGTTTTGGTAGAATGAACTCTCTGTGACTCTCTTGCTCTTCCACTGATTCTAAGTTCAATGGACTAGCTCCCTGAATGGCTATTTTGGTTAGTTTATTTACTGTCACTGAGCACCACCAGGAGCAACCCTGAGCACAGAGCCAGAAACAGCCTTTGAGCACTGGGTGTGGGTGCGGCTCAAAACAAAATTAAATTTGGCTTAAAAAAAACATAAATTAGAATATTAGAAAGAGAATAACAAATAGCCTAAAGCAACAGAATCTGAGGACTAGTCTATAGAACTGAGTTTACCATGAAGGAAAGCAGGGTGAGACAAGGGGAGGATTTGATGGTGGGTGGGGGCGGAGAGGAGGACATGTGAGACAATGGTGGAGGGAAACACTCTGGTGGGAGTGGGGGTGTTAAAATGTTGCAAGAAACACTATCATTGATAGTACTGTTAATCACGGTGACTAAAAGAAAATTTTTCAGAAGTAAAAACCTGCCCTCTTCAACTGATTGATTTATTGAATACTTACTGAAAAACCTGTCATATACAGGCACATTGCTAGGAACTGGAGATAGATGGATCACTAAGAAACATTCCTGCCCTCAAGAAGTGTATCATCTTGTGCAGGTGATGAGATCCTAATATCAAGTATTTGTATATGAAACCATAGTAGGAAAAAGCTATACCCGAGATTGGCCAAGTATGGCTGATGGATCCAGCTTGTCACCAATCAATAGCAGTTTTTGTCACTCATAAGAAGCTAATGATTTTTTTGCTCTTTAACACCAATATTATTTATTTAGAAGCTTCCTGCATTGCCACCACCAAATAGTTTAATACATTTAGTTATTTCGCTGCACAGAAAGGAAAGGAAATAATACTCTGAGCCCCTGTATGATGTTTTTATCAACGTTCTGTAAAACAGAGCAGGCTCAGCACCCTGAGGTGCCTTGAGATAGTCCCACAGCTTCATGTCTAGGTCGCCATGCAAGATCTGCCTTGAAGAGGGCTTGAAAGGCTCTGGCACCTTGTGTTTCTTGTCACCTCAGTGTCTGAGTGATGACCCTTGCTGTGCTCTAGGGTTTCCTGCCTGTGTTACCAAGGAAACAAAGCTAAGAGGAGACTTACCTGTATGACAGCGGGTCCCCGTCCAGCCAGCTGTGCATTCACACTGATAAGGGGCCACACAGCGACCACCATTCAGACACGGGAGAATACATATTGCTGCAAAGGAGATTTGAAAAAAGGATTTGTCAAAATACACACTCTCGTGGTGACATGTGCAAAAAACATTTGCCCAAGGAGCAAAGACCCATGAGGTAATCCTCCCTTATGCTTTCTCTTTATGAATCAGCATCGTTGGGAAAACAGAATCGGCTAAGTGGTGAGCCTGGACCCTTAGCCAGAGGTAATGCATCTAATGCCAGATGAACTCTTTCCATGAGGTTATGCTAATCAAAGCTAAGTGCCTTGTTTTCTCCTCATAAAACAAATAGAGTGTTCTCCCCTCAGGTCACTTTAAATACCCATTACAAATGATATAAATTGCTTTAAGATGGTTTGGCTGCCTTGGGGCTCTTCTCTTGCCTTGAATCCAATGTAAGCTGGAGTCAGATGGGCTCTCCTGTAACAATTTAGGGGTGACAGAACAACTCACCCTTTATTTCTTGAGAGCAGAGGACTGATAATGACTGAATTAGAGTTCCCCTTGACCCTCCATGAAAACTATTCCTTTATTACTAAACTCCCTCAGGAGGTACATTCTGATTAA